TATCAGAATTTTATATATTTATACTTCTCATTCAACCACAATTAAATTCACTCTATCCAGGAGGCACAATTTATATGGATAATATTAATTTTTATAACAACAAGCTGCAATGAAAACAAGCAACAATGAAATAAAAGGAACGACTTTCTACTTCTTGCCTTTTTTAAAATGTAAAGAATACAAAAATGTAAGAAGTAGAAGTAAAAGTTAGGCTGAACAATAATTACTCAAGTAAAGTACAGATACCAAACATCCTACTTAATTACAGTAACAAAGTATTTGTATTTAGTAACTTTACAACTCTGGGGTTTGCCAAGGATATCTCCCCAAGAAGGTGTCTAGGGGATCTTACCTCTCGAACTGAAAAATCTCTATTCAAGGCCTCAACCAACTCCTCCTACACCCAAGCCTTTTCCTCAGCAACAACCAGGGTTGCAGTTTGCTTGGTCCCACCAGTGCCTCTCAACTGCCTCTGGAAACTAACCAGCTAACGAGGCTCGATAGGACGCCTTCTTCATCTTGACGGCCTCTCTCACCCGAGGTGTCCACCAAGGCCGCCAGCCATGAAAGGCACCAACAGTCTTGCATCTCGACAATGGAGACGCAGAACAAGGGATGTGTTTGAAGCCATGTCTGAGATGGGAATTAAAGATCTCTGATGTTCCCAGCAAACCCTTYCTAGTATATTAGCCATTTGTCTTCTTGTATTGTTATAGGGTTTCTGTTGTTTTGTACTCCTACAGTGCCTATTCGCCATCAGACTGGCTTTGCAGCACACATTCAATCAACTGATAAACGACAGATTATAAAATAAGTGCAAAGTGTTTAAACGATCATAAATTACAGCGGTTTTAGAAAATATTTAGTAAACGTCACATCAGAAGCATTCTGAAGTCTGCTACAGGACAATGCTGGTCTARATTAGTGCTTCTAAATGCTTGTAAACATACCTTGTCACTATGACTATCACATTAACACATATTGAATGTATAATTTTATTATGCAGAACATTCAGTGGTAAACAGAACTCATCCCAGTTTGTAATGATAGACCACACATCTCTGAACACAGCTGCTTGTTTTTATAAATTCATGGATCATTTCTCCTCTTCAGGCTCAGCTGTTGCCATGGTGCACTGGTATTTGGCCGAATGCCTGGTGGGAGGCTGAGAGTCCTCTTTGCATGCCTGTCAGAGCACCTCAGTGGCTTTATTTTACAGCATGCTAACAGGAAAGATATCCCACTGTCATGTTTAATCACTGACACTTGAGCTATAAACAGAGAGTAGCATTTGACTGGGGACTCTCACAGTACACTTTGTAATGGTAGTTTAAAACATCCAGTAACACCCATTAAACTAGAATGCGAACATATTCAGAATTTAAACACCAAATACCATACCATACCATACCATACCATACCATACCATACCATACCATACCATACCATA